AACTGCTGTTGTCTCTCTTCTTGTTTCTTTTCTCGTTCGAGCTGCCACTATTGCAGGTTTTCTTGCAACTGCTGTTGTCTCTCTTCTTGTTTCTTTTCTCGTTCGAGCTGCCACTATTGCAGGTTTTCTTGCAACTGCTGTTGTTTCTCTTCTTGTTTCTTTTCTTTTTCCTCCAACCACTGCTGTAATTTCTCTTCTCGTTCTTCTTGTTTCTTTTCTTGTTCTTGTATTGCTGCCATCAAATCTGCTAAGCTGTAGTTTGATTTGCCGCCTCTCGTTCCATCTTCTTCTTTTTATTTTCTATCCCACTTCTGACACCAATTTGTTACGTCTTTGTATGTTTGTTTGTTAATTTTTCTACAATACAAGTCCTTTCTTAAATAAAACTTGTTTATTCTTCTTCAATACAACTTTGCAATACACTTAATTTTCACAGTTACACACACTATAGTTCACAACAATTCACTCACTTTCTACTGTGCTTGACTCAATTGCCCGTCTCTATTTCTGCTTGTCAGCAACTATAGTTCCGATTTCTGTATCTGCTATCCTCGGTTCTCGCCGACCGTAACAGCTGTCCTTGGTTCCCATTCTCTCCCTCTCTCTCTCTCTGTCTAGCGCACTTATATACGATAATACCGCCTCTTCTAGAATCTTCTAGGCACTCAACACGTCCTACCAGCGTCACTTGACTTCCGCTGTCGTAATATACTAGGGTTTATCGCGAATCTTCTAGAATACTCGTCACGTGACCCCCGCTGTCTTAACATGGGGTTAAGGGAAGGACTTAAACGGTGTTCAACGTTTTATTTCATCAAACCAGTTATCGGCGAAATAATTAGCATATTATTTTAACGCAGTTTATTAAGACATGAAAAAGTAACCTTATAAATTATAGGAAATAAGGAGTGTGGTATGTGATGATAACAGCTCGTGTTTATTTTCCAGCGAGATTATTTGAAAAGAACAATATATAGAAAGTATATAAGTCTTTAGGTGATACCGCAAGAGCTGACAGAATGTTCACGATTGTTTGTTTGTTTGAAGTTAAGCACAAAGCTACACAATGGGTTATCTGTGCTCTGCCTACCACGGGTATCGAAACCCAGATTGTAACGTTGTAAATCCGGTGACATACCGCTGTGCCACTTGGGGGCAGGATATTCACGAAACACGAGATATGCAGATAGGAAGTGTAGATTGCTGGCAATAAATTCCCTGTGCTGAGATCGATAATAACGGAATTTGACTCTATAAGAAAAAAAAGAGCCTTAGTTCTCTCTCTCTGATTTTCAGCAGTTCTCCAGCAATGGTCCAGCAAATTTAGTGGAATGGCCAGAGCAACTACTTGCAGAAATTTCCACTATCCTCTGTGTAAGTTTACCTTGTCATCTCACTTTTATATAGCAATGTATAAGTAATCATGTGGGACGATCTAATCAAAATAACGATTGTTCAATAGCTGTTCTAACTAACCTTGTGACTTAATAGAAAAATATTTTGAAGATAATCGTTTACATTTATGTAACAGAGTAATCAAAATATGTTTATGTTCGTCCATTGAGCTGTTAGCGATTTCTTTATTCTTTACACAAACTTCCTCGAGTTGGTGACTTGTGAGCCTAATCCATGACTTCGTAAATATTCTGTAAACTAATTTGTTTGTAATGATAGAATGCTTTAACTGTGGACTAAAAGACCACATGGCTAGGACTGCAGACGTCCACCTAAGACAGAAAATAAAAAACCCCAAGGGCTGAAACTTTAAGAAATAGTTCGCAAACAATACTGGGAAACTAACATTTTCAGGAGAAACGAGAAAAAAAACACTTTATTTCAGATGAAATTATGAAGCAAAACTAGAAGTAGTCCCAAATGTATTGTTACGTATCTGCTTGTTTGTTAATTTCCGGTATAAATTCCTTAAGAAAGGACTTGTATCGCTGAAGTTTCTGGGAAATAAAACTAGTTTATTCTTTCTCAATAGATCCTTGCAATACACTTAGTTTCCACAGTCACTTTCACTTCAACACACGCTATAATTCACACCGAACGATTCACGCACTTTACTTACCACCGCGCTTGACTCAATTGTCCGTCTATGTCTGTCGGCAATTATCTATCTCTATCTATCTATCTATATCGTCACTTCTCGCCGGTCTTATATATACAAAATAGAGGGCGTATCTAGCAAACGCTAGGACGTTCGACAGGTTCCTCGATCTTTTCAGAACTCCAGCGCATGCTCCCAGCATCGCGCGACTTCTGCTGTCGTAACGATAGGATTATGAGTGTGTATATGACTGCTAAGTGGAACTGTATTCTAAACACGGACTAATAGTGCGATCATACATAAGTGAAGCTAGTGAATATATACAAGTTAATATTACCCC